ACAGGTGCAGAAATTCGTCCAGCACACTTTAAAAAAAACTAAATATATTATTGATATTAAATTATTATTTTTTGTGTTAAAAAATAAATGTTGCCCTCTTGCGTACGTTGTACGTACAATAAGTATAAATACATATTCAATATTATACATAGTACCTATTTCCATTAATTATGTAGGAATCCGCGGAATTTCATTAAGTATCATTGTACATAATTATTACACCTCGATACATATAGTACCAATTGTTCATAAAGGTTTACGTTAGGTATCCATCGCTTAGTCCGTGATTGACAAAATTGTGATTTATTATTAAATATTTTTAGTAAAAAACGATAAATAGAACACAAGAACAGCATGTCTTCCCTTCAATGAGACTGTAAGTAGTGTTATTGGACACTTTCTTATTTTATAAATCCTTATAAGTAAATTAAGTTAGACTTAAATTACTTATAAGTCTTAAGTTAGGCTTAGGCTAGATCGTAATGTTCCTTGACGTCTTTTAATAAAGACACATGTATAAAAAAAAATGAAATATTTAATTGGTGACGAATCGATTGTAGAAACAAAGATTTCTTCTAGTAATAACAAATCCTGTGACGTTAGAATCCTTGGTCTCTGCCTCGGAACTCACAATAAGTGATCAGCCTTGTGGGCTCGACTCGCGCCATCAGGTGTTTGGTCTAAGACGTGCTGCTTTTCTCATGATAGCATCACCGTATACATTATTACATAGATTAAAAATCCATGATGCATTGTTTGAACGTATTACGTTCGGTCGCGTCCTTCGTCACTAAGCGAAGACTACTACTGACTACTTAGTACTAAAATGCCTAATAAAATCATAGACGCTAGAGCTACTCTATATCCTATTGGTTATAAGTTAGTTTACTATGGAGTTTGATATAGTATGATTACAAATATAAACCGCGATGCTAATTCTAATACATCTCAAGTACTATTTTTTGTTTAGCATCTGACGTAAGCGATCAAATGATCTTCTTATCATTTAATTTTTGGTATTTCGCAAACACTTGACCTTGTCTAACTTAAATACACTTTAGATTATTTCAAAGGTCAATCATATTGATATTGCAATATACACAAAACCTTTATTTTATGTTTTTCAACCTACTGTTTGTTATGTGTTAGATAAAAGTGTTTGTCTATGACGCGGAATTTCGCTTGCATCATCTCGATTCCCATATGAATCATACTGAAATGCAATTTTGACGAGTTCTCAATACTAATCCCGGACCAATTTTCAATTGTAATAGTCATAGTAATTTTCCTATTTGAATTTGCCAAAATCTACAATCTACCTCGGGTATTGTAGTATATACTGGCAGTGCATAAAAGTATTATTCAGAGTACACATTAATATTGTCTCTGTTAGACGCGTTGCCGGTAAGCACCTAGCTCACCTTGGTTAATATTTCCTATTTACCAACTATACGAATCGTGTTTTAGCCTGATTGTTTTTGATTAACGAATATTGAAAAAACTTATGTTTAACTTATATAACTAGTTGTGTATTGCGTAAAGCGAAAATATAAGCATAATTTTTATATTGTATACAGAATTTTGGCGTAATTTTACATATTTTTAGAAACAAAAAGTTACAAGAGAGACTTAAAGTAGAAACTCCACATGAGAAACGGCCCTTAGAAACTTGAAAATAGAGATAGATATTTCAATTTTCCACCAACAATAATGATAATAATCTTTAAATCTTCTCTACGGGAAAACCCTCCGCGCGCTTTTATCAAGAAGGCAATAACTACTGTGTTACACAGTATGCTAAATAAAAACTCTTTATTAACCTGTAATTTGTCTATTTATATAAAAAAAACCCTGGTATAATAAATCCGTGAACACACTATTAGATAACAGGTATTATGTATAGTCTAATAAGTATTATTATAGATAAAAGGTATATATACACAATATTAGGCACCGTACAATAAATAATATAAAATATCTTAAAACATATTTATATTCACCGCTAGTGATGTTCTAAGGTTACCAGAGGTCGAGGTCTCATAACACCTATTATTATGCAAACTTCTTATTTTTACTCTCGTATAATATAATATATGTATATGTGTCATAATAATAAATATAAGAATTCATTAAGCATTAATATTAGATAGGAAATAAATTAGACATTAAGTAATTGAGTTTGCTAAAGGAAAGTAACAGTTAATCAAATTAAATGACATTTATAAAGATGCAAAATATTTTAATGTAGGAAATAAATAGCCAGTTTTATTTGACATTGCAAAACCGGTTAATTTCAAGTTTATGATATATGACGTTATCGATTCATTTTTTAATTTGCGTAAGCGCAGAAAAATGTACGTTTCCGATTGGTTTTATGCGCAGGTGTTTTATTAAGGAAGAAAAGATGACAAGGACATAAGGATTTATTACTTTTAAATGCGTGTTTTTATAGATAAATAGTAATATGTGCAGAAGTAGAGTATCACAGGAAATACATTCAATTACTCGCATGTAATTTCAAGTGGGTTTACTTCTCTTCAAGTCTGATAACAAGCTATTTAAATTATATTTAAAAAAACGAAGTGTGCATAGATAGGGCATAATTACCGTTTTGCAAGGATAAAGCGAACAGCTCGTCGTCTTGCAACCATCGCAGCTCACTAATTATAGACATATCAGCTTCGTATGACATCAATGTGTCATGATAACAGCATTACAATAGCACTAAAACACAATTTGAGTACACAACACTCGCATCACAACACTACACGTCTAGCGGTACTTGGGTTCAAATTATTCATACAAAAAATTTCCCGCCATACCTAAAACTAAATCGAACCACAAAATCGTTCCCGTACGATTCGTCAATTTTGACAGTTGCGATCGTAAGGTCGAGGTGAACGAACTATGCGCACGATCACAACGTGCGCAGTGCGTCGCTGTAGCACACTGACTAAACTTCATAACTTGAAACGGCTAAGCGCGGGGGGCCATATGCTATAAATCATCGATAAGTACAATTAAATTCGCACATCCCTATAATGATGGGGCGAATGTCCGAATATTATGTTTACAAGTGCCATAATATCGATATTATTGCAATGCCAGGCACTTCGTTCGTTTTATGGGCTTTACGCGCCAATTAAAGAATCTTGCGGATTTTATTGTTTGTTGGTGATTATCCTGTATCACACATACTTTGTTGTTGATCGTATAAAATAATTATTACAAGACAAGAAAACAACTATAGTAATATAGAATTTTGTTAATTTATAATTGAATCCTGTGGTGCTGTAACCCTTTGTGATCTTTACAAAAAGAGGTTATAGTAGAATAATATTTAGTATAGTTCTACCTAGAACGTATTTACTTTAATATATTTGTATTTAATTAACCGTGCGTTAATACGTTTCGTTTTTGACCCAACTTAAACGATTCAATAAATAAACTATTTTTTAAATCTGTTAGCGTCAAATTAATTCCATAAAACTATAACCTAAAATGCAAAGCCATATAAATGAATTTCCGATTACACGAAGACCTATACAAGTTTCCGTATGAAAAATGCAATTATGCAACAGCAAAATGAATAGCTCGGCAGGTGTTAAATGTTAATTTAGTAAGAAATTACTATCGTAAAATATATACAACCTTCAATGAAGGGAACTACGATTAATTCCCAGAATATTTTTCTCGCTTGTGTGTCGATGAGCCTTTATTCTTGTTTTGTGTTTGAAAGAACACAGAGACTCTGGGTTTCAACCAAGCTAGATCGAGGTGCCGAAATTGTGAATACTGATAAAAAAACGTGTAAAGAATTAAAAAAAAAAAACTAAAATATTGACTATAGCTATCTTCAGGGTGTCGGTTTTTTTGTGACGGTGTGCGCGCGCACCGTAAAAATTTACTCTTATCATTTTTCCGTAACGCGCCAGAAGTATAACTTCAAAAATTGGATCGTGGATCGATGCTCTGTTACCAAAAAAGTCGGCATAGGTGTGGCAGCATTAATAGTATTTTGAGCTTGACAACTTTTGACTGATTGTCAATTGGATCTGGTCAAAGTGATTTTTATTATTTATACATAGAACATTCGTTACAGCCACAGTTAATAAATGGATCTGACATGACATCTTTAACCTCAATTCTAAATATACTGGCAACTTATTATCTATTGCAATTGGAAGTACCACTGTAAGGAATAAAAAGTTTGTCTATATATCTAAAGTAGGTGAACGGTACCATACGATTTTGGAATGGGTTCTAAGAAAAAACTTGTGAGACGCCGCGCCGCGTAGATCTAAATTGGTGTCCTATTTCTCCATTTTTAGTATACACAGTCATACAGCAAATTACTGTAAATTCACTTAACGAATTGATTCTTTAAATATTTTAAAGAATCAACCCGTGACCACTTGATTAATAAATGACTACACTTTTAATTTCGATGACGTATTTAGTATCATATTTCCTTTGAGTCATCCTTCGTATAATATATACATAGTATTGTCGAAATATATGTCAAAGCCCAAAGAAACCGACAAGATCCTCCTTCTATTAGTTGATAAGACCAAAACACTAAAACGACCTTAAAATATCTAAGGCAATTTAAGGAATTTCTCAAAAGGTTTATGTGTCGCCTTGTGTATTTCATGGAAAATAGTAAAAATTTAGATCATCAAGAAATTAATTCTGTCCTCTTTCTAATATTTTTATCTAACGTGATGCAAGTTCCAAGTTCTAATTTGAAGATGTGGAAATGTTTGTCGAATAACATTCTTCAGTTATTTGATAGCATTGTTTAAATAAGCTGATTAAAATTGGGAGACTGCACTGAATATGTATGTACCTATTCATTTATTAAATAATAAATATATTAAATAAAATCAAAATATTAAAATTCTTCGGATAAATTGCATCATTGGACGTTAAAACTACATGCAAAATTCCATCCGTTCCACCTTCAAATTTGGAGTTCCAGAGCGCTTTTAAAGGACACTTCATGCTGCGCACCACAACTTTATGAAACCAGCTACAGGTATTTGCAAACCGTTACGACTTCGAGCCTTCAAGAGAAGACCATAAAGGCCGCCAACTCTTGGTATCCCGGCCTTACAGATGTCCATGGGCGGCGGTAAAAATATAACTTTAAGCGTCCCGTTTGCCTCATGTCCTTAAAATAATAATAAACTGTTAAAGCGATCCTTGAATTTTTTTTATTTTCATTTTCATTCGGAGACAAATTTTATTACAACTGTTAAAGCTTAAAGAATTCTTGCGTAAACTTAAATCTGAAGCCTAGCCTATATTGCTATTGTGATAACTGATACTTTTTCAAGCTTCTGAAAGCTCTGGATGATCAGGATACAGCTCAAGTTTCAACCTTCACTCAACTTAATGTCAGGGTTGATGAGTCAGTCTTTCGGATAAGTTGTTTTTAAGATAAGTAAGTTGTCAATTGTTCATTTTTAAAAATATACGGTAGGTAATATTTTTTTAATTAGTAGCAAAAAAATACATTATTTTGTTTATTTTATGCACTTAAACGGCATTATTTTTTTGTAATATTTAATTAACTAAACGATTCGGCAAAACTGCATTTTAATTAAATGATGTAATTAACACAAGATAATAGCATTAAGTTAATTATATATATATTATTATTATAGATATTTATGTAATTAGTTTTATTTTACATAATATGCCATTTTTATTAAGCACTGAGAAATATCTTTGTTAGGTCAAAGGTTTGGTTTATTGAAATCGCTTACAACGATCCTCAAACTCAACTCTGAACGTTGCGTCTTCAGGCCTATGATGAGTGAATGATCAATTCAAGATCTGGGTTAAAAGTAAATTATTTAAAATAAAATATTTCTTAAAACTGCTTTACTTGGAGAAGATTGTTCATTAACGATAGGACCGTCTCTTGCACTCAGCGACCTCAATGTTTGGAAATATTTCTTGTATTGTTTATAAGTTAAACGCAATCTATCTATCTATTACATAAATCGACGTTTCGGATCTTATATCAGTTGCTAATTGCTTTAAGATATTAGGCATTATCAACTAATTTCTTTTAATTCTGAATACATAGTAAACAATAATAGAAACAATCAATAATTCTAATTTCGGGCTCTCACGACGAAAAAGATAAGAATATTTTATACTGTCGTCTTTCAAATAAATGCGTTTCCGTTAATCAATCCATCGTTACATAAAGCTCGTGTTTCGTCAGGAAACAGTGGGGCGAGCGGCGCGTGCGACGCGATCACGTAAATTGATATTTTATGTTTGGTGTCATTTGAAAGAGGAAGCGATTTTCAGATTACCGATCTATACATGTACATATTTTGGTACATATTTTCCAATGTACTAAAAATACGTGTGTACCAATGAAAGTTGCATAGGTATCGTACAATATACCATTTTCCATCAAATTATTCACACATGCGTGGCATTTATCAACATACCCAATAATGATGTTAATTTAATCAAAAGCAATTAGGTTATAGAAAAATAAGTAAAACAATAAAATATTTTAATCTAATCGTCACGAGTGCCACCACGATGTTCCATGACAAACAGGTCAAGACTTAACATCAACAGCGAGATTTCTCAAAAAAATAAGAGTGCTCAGACCATATTTCCTTGAAAACCTCTGCTCAACCTAACGCTGGTGAATCATCGAATACGGATTCAACGAAGAAACTTCCATACTCCGATCTAACCAGTGATTCTGCTTGAACAATGAAGTAGAATGAAAATACTCTCTCTCTCTCTCCTTCTGGGTAGGTAACTCATGTCTGAGTATCGTGGTCAGTCAGTAAAATCTGGCGCGAATAATTATCCTCCACCAATTTCGGTTCTCCGCTTCTTTTACAACGGTGTATAATTTTGAGGACGACGAGTCTTTGACTTGATCAGTCCATTTTGTTGGCGAACGTCCACGCGATCTATTGCTTTCGGTGTTACCAATGAGCTTCTCTAAGTTCTCGTTACGCCTACGCGTTTAGTGACCAAAGTACGAAATGAATGAATGAAAATGCAATACGTTATCAATAGATTTTAATATATCTATAGCGGTTGAAAAACGCTTATCACTTGTACCAATGTGTTTTAATGAGTGCACGCATTTTGTAATACATGACCACATGGGGTAGACTTACCAGACATGAGCAAAAATCCTTACTTCCGCTTACCAACCCTCAAAGTTAATAATTTAATCAATACCATACTACGTCATTTGCGGCTGACAAACCTGAACGAATACAAGTGAAGAATAGAACCTACTTCTCAGTAGTGAATACATTTTTTCTTCTAATTATAAAAACTATCTTAAAGGTTTACCAAATTAATACTAATTAGAATTGCGTAAAATATAAACGAAACTAGAAAACGCCTAATTATTATAACAAATAAAGTATTTGAAAAAATACTTTATTTGGTATAATCGTGGGTCCCAGATGAATTTTTCTGTAAGACGAAAATTGTTTCGTATTAGAAGGCTCAGAAGACCTACTTATTATATACGGCTTCAAATCTCTAAAATTCCTTCTTCACTAGTACATCTTCCACAATCACAAAACTGTATTTGCATTAATAATTTCATATAATAAAAACTACCAAATTAAACACGCTAGAACCATAATTATTAAATCATTTAAACCTCATAAATTTATATAAACTAGATATCGATCTAAATTATTGAAATCAATTTCAATATTAATTTAATTTTGTGATCGAAATTTTATGACAATCTCAGTAATATTTTATGGAATTTAATCAAAATGTTACAGCTAATATGAAATGATAGTGCGTTTAATCAAAACAGACTTTAATAAATTATATAGTTAATTCTCGATTAGCATTAAGGAGAATACACCTTTACTTAGGAATTAGGATATATTAATGTAACGTTATGAAACATTTTTAAGACAATAATATTTACGTATGGACTTATTCATAGACGTATAATATTTAACTTTTTCTAACGACAATTATATAAATAGCTCTTTGGGGCTTATATTACTAAGAAAAATAGACTACTTTAACTACAATTTAAACGTGTAATAACGATTATTTACTCGTGAGAATTTAAAAAATTTACTCCAAGTTTTCCAAAAATAACGTAAAACTTAATGATAAAAATCTTATTAATTTTCATAGAGTTTTTTAAAAACTTTGACTTTAAATGATGGTAACATAAAAAGATGGCCACTAATCATGTCGTCAAAGCCCCCAATATTGTTTTTAACGTAACAGCTTGCTTTAATGAAAGTTCTCGGTAGACTATACTTCCCCTTAATATTGCAATTTGTCAGCCATTCCTAACTGCAGCTTTCGAATATTTTCACTAACATCACATCACTATGAATAAAACATAATACGACCGCTAATAATAATCCCGCGAATTTAATAATAACTAATCGACGTTTTTGTCGGCAGATCTGTAGCTGAGTTTATAGATTTCGAACCGCCATAAATTCTAAATTTAAATATTGGAATGGCTTATGAATCATTCTTCGTTTTATTACCGTACTTTGTTTTCTTTTCAGCCAGAAGTTATTTGTTAACGGCCAGTATGGTCCTCTAAGTAATATTGCAGTCAATTTAATTTTTTTAACAATATAAGTAAGCTAAGCAAATGAAAACAAGAAAACAATGAAAGGAATAACAGATTATTAATGAGGCATTTTGTATTTTTACATTTCAAATTTGGAACTCTGAATTGTTTACGCCATAATTACTGTTTTTATAACCATGACAACACAACCCGGAACATGACACCCCTTAAAACAGCAATTATTAATAAGCATTAGAGGTATCGTGTAATATGTTTTATGAGGTTCCAGACATGCATACATATTAATTATAGGCAGTCACGATAGTTGTATATACTAATTACTTCCCTTATATTTGTGAATTTAGGTTTTACGTCACTTAATTTAGTAATTTTGCTTGTGCTTTGAGTTTCGGAAAATAAAATATACAAATGCTACAATTAGCTCAGCAGTATGATGATACTGCCCAGTTAGGAATAATAAATGCGGATAGGATTTTACATTTAACTTTAAGTTTAAAGTAATTTAATATGTGGATCAAGCGACATCGATCTTTTTTCTAAACCTATTTTTATATGTATTTCTAAATTTAAAATCATAAAAAAACAGATGTGCCAACACTGTTTACTGTTGGCTGAGTGGCTTCAGCGTGCAGCTCTCATCCCTGAGATCGTAGCTTCGATCCCCGCCTGCACCAATGGACTTTCTGTATATGTGCGCGTTTAACATTCGCTCGAACGGTGAACGAAAACATCGTGAGGAAACCGGCGCCACTGATTTATTTTTTATTTGTTATAAGCACTGTGTTTAAAACATTTTTAAGTACTAAGATTAGTTTATTTAGAATTATTCGTGGTGGAATAATTACTCATGACAATTAGTAATTAGATAAGTTCACTATAGATCCAAGTTTAAAAACGTCATTTACTTTATTTTAATTTCCTAATTCCAGTCGTTAACTAATCGGACACTAAATTTCGTAGTTCAGTTCCACCCAAATAATTTTATTGTTGTCTCTGAGTCTGTTAGTCAAGTTACCAAAACTTCGTTCTTGATTAACACATAAAAAATGATCCAAATACCTCTTTCCAATATGGTCATCCTACGTTCCACTTTGTAAAATTGTTGATTTTAATTTCAAGTTCTTTTGATTTAATGGTTGGTTAATTAATTAAAATTTGCGAGAGCCATTATGTAGAAAGTTTAATTTTCAATCTTTAGCAAATTGATGGCACGCCTTCCGTATATGGGTTTTTATAGACATTAATCGCTTCTAATGGGTCTGTAATTAACGAAATATTTTTTAAACAATGTTTATGTGGGCAGACCATAAAGGTAAAGGGAGCCTTTAAAAGCGTTAAGCGAGTAGTCCGCGCCCTCGTCAGGATGGTCTAGTCTCAAACTCTCTAAACTTTGTTAAATCTTAATTTTCTTTGGTGTTCACTAAGACACGCGCCCAGTCTTCGCCTGAAAAGCCATTCTCGATACGACATGCGAGCCCTAGTTTTATAACATTTGACTTCAAAATATTTTTCTCCCTTTCAAGTTAATATAAGTTCTCTGTTTCTAATTTTGAATCTATGCCCAGAACCGGTTTCTGATAAACCTA